AAACACAAACCGAAACGAAAGGGGCAGCAGCAACAGCAACAACAACGCGTTTGTTGCAAACTTCGACTTACACAATTCGAAAATTGTTGCTTTATTATTTTCTATTGTATTTTTGAAATGCAATACTAAATATTTATAAATTAATTATTTATTGTTTGGAATAAAAACAATGCCACACAAGCATTTTTTGTTTACAGTTGTTTTCGTCGTACAACTTTTAAGAACTTTTTTCTTTTACTTTTACAGGCGAACGCAACACGCACAACCGTTAACATAACCAATTCACTTGAAATTCCCGGCAGTACTGAATTCATTCGGCTAGCACTAGAAAAAATACAATACACACACACAACTCCACAATTCGTTTGGAACGCATTCAAATACAGCCCACAATCACGAACCGGTGTACGGAACGAGAGAGCTCACACAATGACGTCGTGTTGGTTTTGTTTTTGTTCGTTTGTTCGTAGCCACTCTGATTGGAAACTATTTAACAATGCAAGTGTGGCACGCGTACGCATTTCTTTGATAAAACATGAGTTGCAGCTCTTGTCAAATGACAAAACAAAAGTTGCCTGCATGCATTATTTGTTGCTATTGTAGTCATTTCCACATACAGTACATACCGTACGAGAGACCGTACGTTATTTGGCTTGCGCTGCAAATGTGGATTTATGTTGCTGAAAAAGCGTATACTGTTTTTGTTGCAGAGATTATAAGCAACTTGCATATGAAGTACGTACCATATATATATACAAATGTTTACAGAACGTTATTTGTAGTTTAATTCCAATAACAAACCAACTTAACGGTTTGTTAAGTTTTAATAGAATGCAATAGATTTTAATAGAATGCAATACCATATTCATAGCGATTAAATTATAATCAATAATAGGCGAATATAGTTTTACCTGTTACCAGTGGGGAATCAAATTGGCCGGGGAGATTGATTTAATGTATAGATAAAGCAGTGCAAAATTATTGCTAAACAATTACTTTATAGTATTTCTCTTTCCAATTGACACAATCATAGTTACGTTACTGCCTTTCATAGTACTGTGACTAAGGAGTAATCACATAATCCATAGTTTTTAGTCTATAGAAATGATTTTAATACTAAGGCCGTGTGCGAATTCCAGTAAATTCATGGTAAATTGAAAGAAATAGTAAATTATGTCAATATGGCAGCGAATGTTGGTATTTACCAGAACTTCGAGTAGGGTAAATTAGATAAAAATTAGGTAAATTAGATATTAACATTGTGAAAATTTCATAAGATGTTTAATATATAAATAAATAAATATAAAAACTTTTAATCAAAAATAATAAATAAGCGCAATAAATAAATAAATATATACAAAAGTGCAGTGCAAAAAGTCCCTAGGAAATTTCAATTTACTTTACCACAATTTATTCGAACTCGCACACGGTCTTAATATTAATATGAAAAACTTGAAGAAACAAGTTGACTTACCCATGTTCAACGCATTTTTTGTCTGCCCGTCCAAATATATCTTGACTTTTTTAACTTTTTTTGACTTTGAATAGGATATTGTTAAAAATCCATGCAATCTAGCTTCAATATAAATGAAATTGGTCAGGGTCAGGTATTTATATTCTATCGCATCCCTACATTCTAACAGTCACTGCTTCCTTTTATATGTTATATTTGTTCACCTTTTGGAAGTTTCAAATCATCAACAAAGACAATACCATTAGTAAGCCTTTGTTATCAACATGTGAGGAATTCCCAATGACACACACGTTCCACAAAAATTATGCCAAACCGCTAGCAACATGTTAGCTACATACAATCCATGAATTTCTGTGGAAATACGATATATCCACATGTTACAATGAAATCCTCAAAAGCAAGTTTACGATATTTAAAACAACAAGAGACTTCACATCTTCACATTGCAAAAAAAAGAAAAAATTGATAATAAATATCTGAATATTAATTTAAAATAAATATTAAATATAATATTAAACATTTAATTAAAAAAAAATAAAAGAAACCTTTAGTTGTAATCTCATTTGAAGAAAAAGCGTTACTATCCATAGAAGTGGAAGCCTTCAAAATCTGAATAAGTTAAAAAAAATAAAAAAATATTAAAAGTCAGTTATTTAATATCTCGAAGTGAAACATTCTTTCATTGACTTCAATACAACTCTTAGGAATTCATTCCTCGAAAAATTCGAAGAAAGCTAAAATGTTCATATAAAATTCCACTCAAATAATCGAAGGCAGGTAATCGAAATCAGTAAGCTTAGTATATAGTATGAATATCATATAAGAGAAGAAAATATGTCACGACTGCTGAAGAAGATGATCCCACTTCCCGTTGATCACAATATTTAGATGAAGAACAAGCCACAGTAATGGAGCTTCTTTTCACGGGCATTTGGTATTTCGAAGAGAAGATGGTCTCACTTCCCGTTGATCACAATATTTAGGTAAAGAACAAGTCACGGCAATGGAGCTTCTTTTCACGGGCATTTAGTATTTCAAAGAGAATACTGCAGACTATATAATCCTTTCAGACAAACTTATTTCTATTTTTAATTTACTGCAGATGTTTTTTTGGTAATATTTTCCATCTATCTATTGCCGATACAAATATGTGATAGATTCAAGTTCCAATGAACGCGAGTTCAATAAATTCAGTGGCTAAACTTCGACTGCAGGTAAACGAAACAGCAACATTTAAATTCAAATTCATTAAAAATAAAAAATTTCAAATTTATAACCTCTCAATTTAAAAAATTTAATAGTCATTCATTAATAAACTCGTCTCTTCTCATTTGGAAACGCAGCGTAATGAACTCGTTCCAACCCTTGCCCGCTTAATGACGACAACAGCAACAATTTTTCCATGCCATAAAGGTCGCCATAGACATCAGGTGTACTTGAGCATCGATGGAAAAAAACTGGAACAATAGAAACCATAACAAAGCACATTAAGTGTTTGATGTGTTCATAGACGAGGGACGCCGGGAAACCTAAGCAGTACGAGACACACAGCAATTAAACAGTTTTCGAAAAAAAGGAGTTGACCAACATAAAAAATCCATGAAAATTCGTTTTCATTCGCACTCGAGTTGGGAAATTTGGGAAAAATCAAATTTGTGAAAGCAGGGAAAGGGAATCACTTTTTCATTTGATTTTTTGCCGCTCAACGGAGAAAAGAAGGGGTTAGAAGGACAAGTCAAGAGATTATCGTAAACAATCACTATTTGCTTGAAACACGGAAATTGAATTCGGTGAATGCTTGGCGCCTAGAAAAAGTTTGGTATGTAATCGGTATATCAAGGACTGACAGTTAAGTCTTAAATGGGACATGGATAGCTTCTCATTAGTGTAGTTAACTTCTAAACGAAAAATTGCAGCTCAAAACTGTGATAATAAGAATTATGATAAGATTATGATAAGATAATTCCTTAAGAAATAACATAGTCTAAGGAATATGTAATTTTTTTATTCAGAAAATGAATCACACAAAGCCTAAGTGTATAACTAAATCAGAGCTCATACACATTAAACACTATTCTACTGTTTTGAAGATTTGCATCTTGCTGCGGTAAGATGGTTTATTAAAGACAGTGAATTCAAGAACGATGCTTGCGGTAGCACAGCTATTGGTAGGGTCGAGATGGAGTGTCAAAGCGAAGACGAATCCACAACAAGTCCTGGTGCCTTTTTGGAAGCCAAATTGCCACCAGGTAGGCATCTATTCCATACGTTAGGAGTGGCCTGCACCTGAATAGATCTTTGGTCCCATCACTCATGTTTGCTCTAAAGATGGCAGTATAATATGGAGTCAAACCAAAACGGAAATAATTTTTTAAGAGATACCTGACAACAGTCGGTTAATCCTTCTACTGCGGCAGCCAACACATCGGATATGGAGGTACTAATTTCACGTTATGACAGCCTGAAGAATGTAATTAATACAACCAAGAGGTTCTATGCTCAACTGAGGAGAAAAGAAATATATTATCATCATCTACTCTATACTATACTACTCTACACTACCCTACACTAATATTCACTAATCTACACCACTCTAGACTACACCACATTACTTCATTCTACTCTTTGACATATTTTAAAAATGAGAAATTTAAATACTTGTCTCTGAATTTTTATCTTTCTCAACTTTTATTCTTGGTCAGCAATTTTTACCATTAAAGAATGTTTTTGACTTCTGTTACTTCGTTTTTATGAAAACGAATCCAAACTACAAATTCAATTATATAGTAATACAACCGTTGCTCCACTTCAACTGCCTTTGTCATTAATTCGAGTTGCGTTAACTCCAAAGGAAGGCAGTTTGCTTTTGTTAGGATTTCAATTGAATGTCAGGTCGCTTGACTTGCTCCTCATTCATTCCACGAGTTTGTATCTAAAGCAGTTTTGGCTGTGCCTTTTTTTACTAACATCGTACAGATTTTAATCTTTTTCACTAAGTACTTCCGAGCTATAAAAAAAACATCGGCATTGTTCACTTTTCTAATTTGAAATGAGATTAAAAATACAAAAAACACTTGAAGTCATATTAATAATAATTAATAATTAATAATTAATAATTCTTAAGATTATAGACAATTAAATAATCACAATATTTTCAATGCGATTATGGAGTCTGTTTTGATATGATAATATTTTTTATCACTTTGTAATTATTTATTTATATATTGTTTCGAAATGATAATATTTTATATAAATGTACATTCTTATTTATTTTACATAATTTGAAAATTTATAAACGAGTGAACCAAAGAAACAAATGCGTGCGTCTTCGCCAACGATCAACCGGTAAGAGAGAGTTGCAAATTTTGATACAAAGCATAAAAGGCAAAAAAGCAAGAACAAAGATTTAATAAAGCAAAAATGAAATGCAAATCACCTTTCAAACAAACAGTGTTGCAGTGTAAAACAATGTTAAAAATAATTATTACTACTCTAAACATCCTCCCCCGGTTGAAAGGCTCAGACTTTAAACATATTTATCGTCTATTGGAAGAACTGCCACCTTCCTTACTGCACGTTTGATAATTCCTATATTCGTGCGTATTTCCGCCACTCGAGCCACATTGTCAGATCCGCATATTATGCTGGTGATGCGGCCTAAATGCCATTTAAGAGGTGGAACATTGTCTTCATGTATTAGTACTATATCTCCAACACGAACATTTGCTGCAGGTGAGCGCCATTTGCTACGCTCTTGCAATAGGGTGAGGTAGTTGACACTCCACCTTTTCCAAAATATTTGTAGCATATAATTAACTCGTTGCCATCTGTCTAAGCGAGAGAAGTCAGACGTGGTAAGGTTGGGCTCAGATATTGATATTAGCGGACCACCCACCAAAAAATGAGCTGGTGTGAGGACTTCTAAATCGTCTGGATTTTCTGAAATAGAACAAAGAGGGCGAGAATTAAGCACTGCCGATAACTGGCATGCGAGTGTGCGTAATTCTTCAAATGATAAGATTGAAAGTCCAACAGTGCTGTAAAACAAACGCTTTGCAGATTTTATGGCAGCCTCCCAGAGACCACCAAAGTGTGGAGATCTAGGTGGTATAAATTTCCATTCTATGCCATCG